CGGCCAAAAATCTTGTTCAAATGCCCCACTCAAGGGTCATATAAAAGGCGATCAAATTATGTTTACAATTTTTCCGCTTGTTTTACATCTAGGTAATTTCCACGACGACCATGTTGGTTTTTCACCATTCGGATTTGCTTTGTAATAGTTAGACAACAATTTCGTATCTCGCAGGGCTTGTTTCTGATGTGGACCACTAATTGCAATAAACCAGTTTTGAAAACACGTGCTCACTAAGGTGCCGGTAGCTATTTGAAAGAGCTTTCTAGCTCAGAAGAACATTTTATCTTGTGTCATCTAGCAGACTTCAATGGGAAGATTATCTGTTTCCAAATGTACCCCTTTCCCCTGTCTCTCCTTAAGTCTCGCTCGCTTCAGGCACCGTCAGAGTGACAAAGAAAGACCCTGATAAAAAAGCTCAGTTTCCCAACGGTGATCAACATCTTATTTCTCCCTACAATTTCAATACATTATCAAGAAGACAAGTGATAAGAGTAAAGAAAATCATTAACTTTCGGATATTGTCCTGATGGACTACCAAGTCCTTAGTACAGACTAAGACACAATTTCGATCTCAGCAGCGTGACGGATAGCTGCTGAGTGGCTACCAAGCAGGACAACCTCGTTCCCAGGGCCTTTTCCCTGTCTTGGGGGGCGGTATCCGCGGGGTCCCCGAGCCAGGGAAAAGGCCCTGGGAACGAGGTTCCCAGCAGGAGTTCTGCTTTCCCTTCACATGTACCCCGTCACGGGAGCAATTAACCCGACGTAGGAGCGAGAGGAGGGCTCGAAAGAAATTAGAAATTAAATTATGCATTCTCCTCACAACAACGGAAAATATATCGAGCCCCCACCGACCGAAAACGTTAAACCACACCTTCTCTGAAATGCGAGGCCTGTGACAGGACTCGTGGAAAGTGAGGGGACTGGAGTTCAATATCTGCACTGTTCTCATTCGCAGAACCGTCATCAGCCCTCTTACTTGGCGGGGGCTTGGCCTACTTGGCACGAAGTTTCTAGACCAATGATTGCCTTGATTGTTGGACAAGGATTTTCACGAATTCGACGCTCGTTTCCTTCCGGTTTGGTAACAGAACCTACAGACCGTCAAGAAGTTAAAACTGAGTTATACCGAAACATTCGGCCAGACTTTAACTTCTACAGTCAAACCTCCCATAAACAACCACCCAAAACATCAAGCCTTGGTCGCTTACGAGCGCCTAGACCATATTGGGTCAAAATGTTTCCTCATTAGCATATGGTAACTGCAGAGACTTACCCCATGTTTTAAACGTTTTATTCATGTGAAAATTCAATTTTGAGAGAAAATCCGGTTCTTCCCATTGAGAAATTTTCGTCTCTTTTACTACCCAGGAATGTGATAATGTTACAACACCTTATTATCCAATTTCTGCTCTATTATCTGTCAAGTGGTCGCTTACGGAAGGTTACAAACAAAAGAAAGTTTCAAACTTTTAGTTCTAAAAGTGGTCGCAGTCGCTTACGAGAGGTGGTCGCTTACAAGAGGTTAGTTCCAAATATAGTGATTAAACGACTAGGAAACTTTTGGTAGTTTGGAAAGGAGAGGTGGTCGCAACCGGGGGTTTGACTGTAATTTAAATTCCCATTGTTAAAATCTGTTTAAAAGGTCTGTAGGCGTCAGTAATCGATCAGTTTTACTTAAAGATCAACCAGTGGATATTTTTGGGAAAGAAAAGGGCGGCGAATAACGCTAATAAGTGAAAATCAAGCCAAAAAATCTTTAGAGCCACAGTTTCCTAGCGTCAAGGCCCCTGCCGGCTGAGAGGGACAGGCGAGTCTGGGGATGAGAGTTATTTATGCCCTCGAAGCAACATCACGCGATGATCAGATGATCAGATGATCAAGACACAGCGAGCACAGGCACAGCATAGGAACTCTAGAAGTGTATAGGTAAGCAAGACACAATTTATGCCATGTTTTTGATATCCTTTGCTTTGAATTTTGTTTCACAATCGAAACTTTGATATTCAATTACAAATAACTCTCTTTTTGAACATGCTTACTTGATCAATGTGCCATACAGAATGAACAGTAGTGACGTAATAAGCTTGCGCTACGTTTAGAAACTGCACTTTTTGCTATAGTTTGGCTTATTTGCGTTGTGTTATACTAGCATTCTATTGATGCCGCTCCTGGAGAAGAGCTCTTTATGATCTTAAGCTAAACGACTTTTGGTTTTAGGAGCAATGGAATCTTTTTACGTGTGCTTGGCATTGCACTTCTAATTTTCCCGGAATGCAAAATGTTTCACTTAAGCCTCATATTTCGCAGGTCAACCCAGTATTCAATCCGCATTGCAGGATTTTCTTAGCAAGTAGTCGAAGTAAAGCGATTTTTTTTACAGGATTTACATTCCTATAGATCTGGTACCCACAGATTTCTGAAGGCAATTTTCATGCAAAATATGCCGAGTTTCTCTTTCGCTTCCGGTTTAACTTTCGGGGAATTCCCTACAGCCCTTCTCGGAAATTCGCGACGATCAAGTAATTCATAAACTATGACGGGCTAAGGAAATTGCTGTTAAGTTGTCTTTTAATAACCTATTAATTACTGCCAGCCACAACAGTCATAAATAGGGTAAGGTTTGGGAAGCGGGCCGCACACCCCCTCCCAATTTTCCTGGGAGTACCCCTCACCCCCCGGGCAAGAACTAAATAAATCTAATTATCATTGCTATTATCGGAAAGGCACGTTCTTATTCTGTGGCCACCTTTGGTGTTAACAATAAAACCGAAAAATAAAACTGAACTGAACGATAACTGTTGTCCCCGGTCAAAATGAATGTGATATCACACGACATATAAAAGACCGCGTGCCGCGTGGCTCTGGAGACGAGAACGGAGTGTATCACGCTAACAATGCTAGAACGCATGCCTGATAGATACCGTAAATCCTCTGTTAAGGCCCCCAGGGGGCTTATTTATTTTAAGCACTTTTGAGAGGGGGGGGGGGCTTATTTAGTTCCTAGCGAAATGCATTACCTTTATCAGAAAAGAGGAAGAAACAGACTAGGGTTACGTTTACCTACTTCCTGTTTTGGACCAGGTCAATGACTGTCTAATATGGAGATTTGAGTGAAAAAGTTCAAGCACGTGAAGTTGGAGGTCATGCACCCAAAGATCAAAAACAAATTCCAACTTTCAGCACGTGAATAAACCATACCCGATCAGTCCACATGAAGTGTTACAGTCGTGATTAAATTACAAATACAGTCTATCATTTATTAACTTGATTGTGTGGAATAACGGGGGGTGGGAAGGGGGTCTGTAAAGAGAGGGGGGCTTAATAACTTTCGTCCTCGGACTGAAAAGAGGGGGCTTAT